TCTTCTTCATTAGTATTGTACTAGACTGAGCTTTTGTAATCTCATTTTTCAAAATTTTCCAATAAATATGAATCAGCTGCCAAGCATCTGAATTTTGATCATGTACCCATGGGGATGCTGCAAGGGTCTTGTAAAAAATGGTCATGTCACTTTTTTCAGTGGCTTTGTGACTTTGAGCAGTCACTAAACAAACTGTTATAACTAGAGGACTAACTGTACTTGCCCAGAGTCATGTTTTGTGAGATGGGGAGCTTTACAAATTTATACTGGGATATTAAGAATATTCCTAAAGATGGCAATATGCAATGGCCATAGACACAGAATGAGGCTCATACCCTGGTTTTAATAGGACCTGTTCAAAATAGTCGCTGCTCTAATCCTACAAGCTTATTTAGAGTATCTCCGGAGTAAGAGCAAGCAAGCCATAGCCGTATTGTAGCTGCGGTTTGCTTTCCACCGCCCGGCACTATGAAGTCCCACCGCATAGGACCGCCGCCCTCGCTATTTCATTATTTATTATTTCATTCCCTTTCTAGGAAAAATATGTGCCGGGCCGAGGGGCGGGAGGAAGATCCGGCCGCCTGTCCTGACCTAGAGGGGCGGCCCGCCACGGCAGCCAGCACCGGGCGGAGGACAATAGCAGGCGGGCTGCGGGCGGCTGCAGTCGGTACCCGGGTGCTCTAGCGCGCTGCTCGTCGCTCTCCCCACGACTCCTGCACCGAAGCTCTCTGGCCAAGAGTACTTTGGACCCCCGGCCGCCATGACGGGCAGGTAAGAGGAGAAACACAGCGAGGTCCCCCGCAGTTGTCTGGAAGCTCCGTTCGGCTTCACTTTCCAGGGCGGGTGATAACGAAACGCCGAAACAGCTTCGGCTCCTTCCTCCACGGGACCGCTCGCGCTCCGCGACCGCTGTCCCGGGTAGTTCAGTCGCTGCCAAGAGTCCCCCTTCGCGGGACTTAAAAAGGAATTGTCGGGTTTTGCAACCTTGATCTTTCGGGGCTTGGGGGTGGGGTGGGGTGGGGTTGTGAAACATGACTGCTAGCTGGAGAGAAAGCTTCTTTGCCCGTTAACCTTTGTCCTATCACGTATTTACTGAGGGGATGAAGTTTCCCTCTTCTGGCTGAAACCGCTCATTTCTCTTATATGTGATGCGATCATTTTTGCTTTAAGAGGCCTTGAAAACCAAATGCTTGTGGTCAACAGCAGATGGCAGCTCCCGACTTTCGCTGGTGGCAAAACGCAAAGCGGGCATCAATCCTGATATGTACTTAGATGAGAGACCATAGGGAAATCCAGTTTTTCAATCCCATACGGGAAATTTTAAAAAATGAAAAATGCCTGAAAAAAGGCAATATACTGCTGCTGTATTCACTGTAATTAAATTAAACAAGTGGGATGTAAAATACACTTGCTACTTGGGGCTGGTTTTCTCTTAAACAATCTTTATGCATGGCTTATTAGTTAATAAACTATTACAGAATAGTGAGATATAGCAAACAGGCACTTTATATAGGGAGAGAGTGAAAGCTTTTATCCTGTTGTTTGACTCTTAAGAAACCTGTTTAAATCTTAGATTTTATTATTTGCCTCTCTGGACCTTTAAAATTATAGATGCTTTTCATCAGATATTGGATTGATTGTATGTTATTGTAAATTTGTGCTAACTTATTATCTATTTAAAAAATTTAAATAATAAAATACAGTTTGGTAGAGTGAATGCTGTGGAATCGTATGTTGGAAAGAGCAAAGCATTTAATGGCAAAACCAGTAAAAATGCAGAATGTTCAAATAGATTGGTAAAAGAATTTCTCAGAAAAAACCTGTAAATGGAGTTATAAGATTCTGGGCAGATTTTGGACTGATTTTAGTCTGCCTTTATTTGGAGAAACTGTGCTGTAAAGCAGTTCCAAGTTGCATAAAAATACAGGATTGGGAGAGCAGTTACTGCTCTCTACTGTAAATACAGGTTAAATAAAAATAATTTATGCACGATTTCTAGCTAACATTATTACCATTCCTTGGAATGGGCTGCTTTTGAAGTCAAATTCCCCTTACTTGTTTTATGAATTTTTTCCCCAACCGTTTATAGATTATTTCCTTTTTATCAAATGGTCCGTAGTACTGTTTCTAATTCATTCTCCAAGGAATTCCTTCTTCTCTTGCTTCTCTTGCAAACGTTGAAGGCTAAAGCCTTTCACTTTTCAAGTGGGCAGCTGGGAGGATTTCTTGTACTGTGCTAAGATGAGCTTCCTTCCTTTTGTTTGAGATAAAGACATGCATCCTGAGGAAATCTGCTGTTTGTGTGACATGCACCTGAGATTTGGAGTTTTGTGAAGGCAATTATATTGTATAATATAATTTGTAGTAAGCAAATATTATACTATTTGCTTACTATTCTGTTGTTGTTGTTGTTGTTATTGGAAAAATAATAATTCTGCATTTTTGTTTTGTTTTGTATAAATACATCAATTCTATCAAAAAATACAAACAATGAAGAAATAGCAAGAATAAATCATGAGAGTCTGAAATGATGAGACTGTTAACCCAATAGTGAACTCTTAGCCTATTTTTTGTGTTTTGAGAGTACAAATTATAGCATTCAGGGTTATTCAGAAAATAATGTTCTGAACATTTCTTTTTTACATGATTAAAAAAAATATTTAATACAAATGTTCATGAACTATTTGGTATAAAATTGAGCTAAATTATAATGAAAACACATAAATACTTACAAGCAAAAAAAGTAAAGATAAAGGTTTCCCCTGTCCAGTCATATCTGACTGTAATCTCCATCTAAGGACTAAGTTTATCTCTGCTCTTAGCTGAAGGGGCCAATATCATCTGAAGATATTTCTGTAGTCATGTGACTAGCATAACTATATATTGAGGCACACAGAACCCTGTTACATTCCCATCAAAGTATAGTATTTATCTACTCTCATTTGCATGCTTTCAAACTCCTAGGTGGGCAGAAACTGGGGCAAGTAATGAGAATTCACCCCATTGGGAATTGAACCTGGGCTATCAGCTATGCAGTTGACAAGCTCAGTGTCCAACTGCTGAGCTATCGTGCCTCTACAAGCAAATAAATAAATGCCTACTGTGTTTCCCCAAAAATAAGACAGGGTCTTATTTTCTTTTGACTCCCGAAATAAGCACTTGGCCTTATTTTTG